TGTAAAAACCCCTTTCCAAAAGTCAGCGGTCTAGATTTTCATGTCTTTAACGTATATATAGAGTGACGCAAAATATACATATTTCATATGTATGGTGGTATTGCGTCACTTGGGGGACTGCCGTCCCCCGTGATACAATCTCTTCAGTACATCCTCCTGTTGATTCGATAAACCGAAAAAGGTTGCCTTAAACCAATTGTACAAACTATCATAGACGACAATTTGGCGTTGCTTTGCATTCCAGAACGTACAAATCCAATGATGTTTTTCTCCGTACAATATTTGAACGTCATTTTTCGTGCCGTCACATGGATGACTAGTCACACATTCCTTAAAAATCAACGATGTCTGCGGTTCATACGTGGAGTTCTTGGCATACAGAGTTGCTATAAAGTCTACAGTTATGTCCGTTAATTGCTTTCGTGGATTTTGAATTTCCCGCAGAGCATAGTTCACTTTGTAGGCAATTGCTGCTGCATCTGGATCATGCTGTTAATAGAAATCAAACAAAAATTCAGAATATTTTCCATGAACAAATTGCCAAAATGCTTACCTCGCTCACTGATGCTTGTTCAACGTCACCAATGTTATTGTAAATCAATTCTCTCAAATTCTGCCTAAAATGCTGAATCAAAGCTTCTTGATTTTCCACCAATTCATTGTCAATATTCCCAAGCGATTGGTCTGGCATCAGACCATCGACAATTATTAACTTCAAATAGTACAACGAGAACATTTCGCAATGTTTATCACCTTTTTGCATTAACTTTGGTTGCCTATACACAATGTTGGCGATTAAATCTTTTCGGTCAAAGAATGGATATAATCGTTTCAGTACATATTCCTGTCCTTTGCATAAGTACCATGGTTCCGGTCCATTTGTGCTATCATACACGATGATTTTATTCTCTTTGGAACTGTAGAACGTGCAAACCCAATGATTATTCAGGCCAAATAATATCTGAACATCATTCTCATCTGGATGACGAGCATCACAATGAGCCCGGC